ACGCTAATGACTAGCGAATTTGAAATGTCAATGATGGGCGAGCTCACATTCTTTTTGGGACTCCAAGTTAAGCAAATGAAAGATGGAACGTTCATTTGCCAAGCTAAATACTGCAAGGAGCTCCTAAAACGGTTTGAAATGGACAACGCCAAAGCCATGGCGACCCCGATGAGCACGTCTGACCATCTTGACAAAGACGAGAAAGGTAAGGAAGTAGAGGTCAAAAAGTATCGAGGTATGATCGGATCTCTTCTCTATCTTACCGCTAGTAGGCCGGATATCATGTTTAGCGTATGCCTTTGCACGAGGTATCAATCATGTCCGAAGGAATCACACTTAACCGCGGTGAAACGGATCATGAAATACCTTGTCGGCACGGTTAACGTTGGACTGTGGTATCCAAAAAGCTCTTCTTGTCATCTCGTTGGTTATTCCGACTTGGACCTTGCCGGTTGCAAATTAGACCGTAAAAGTACGAGTGGGACTTGCCACTTACTTGGTAGCTCTCTAGTCTCATGGTTTAGTAAGAAACAAGTCAGTGTTGTGTTATCCACAACCGAAGTGGAATATGTAGCCGCCGGCAGTTGTTGTGCTCAAATCCTTTGGATGAAGCAACAACTCGTGGACTATGGCCTTAGTATCAATCACGTCCCTCTTCGTTGTGATAATACTAGCGCCATAAGCTTGACGAAGAATCCCGTTCTTCACTCAAGGACGAAACACATTGACATTAGGCATCATTTCATTAGAGATCATGTTCTCAAAGGTGATGTCGAGATTGAGTTTGTTGAAACACACAACCAATTAGCCGACATTTTCACAAAACCTTTAGAGAAAGAGTCGTTCTTCCGCATTCGAAGTGAACTCGGAATCCTTGACTACACGATGATCTAAGTTGTGCATCTAAATTTATTACACATTTACTAACTTGAGCGTCGGAGAACTTTTTCTTTTTTGCAGGTACCCCGTTCATGAAATCAGGGGGAACCATGCAAACAGCGCTGTCCAGGAGACACAACAGCGCTGTTGAGGGAAACACCGCCAACCAGAAAGTTTTCCAACAACGATGTCCATCAAGCCAACAGCGCTGTCCCAGGGAGTCCCTTACATCTTCACTTTCCAGAAACTTTTTGAACATCGATGTTCTCTTTTAAACATTGCTGTCTTCCCAAAACTTTTTGTTTTCAACCAAAACCAGAAACTTTTTAAACAGCGATGTCTTACATACAACATCGATGTCCACTTTTACAAATTTTTTCCTTTATCGCAAAACAGCGATGTAGAAAAACCCAACAGCGCTGTTCAAATGGGTTCAAACCCTTACACAATTCCAGAAACTTTTGGAACATCGCTGTAGGGTACTCAACATCGCTGTCCTTTTTGACTCTTGTTTTTTATAAAACTTGACGCAGAACAACGCTGTACAAGGAACAACAGCGCTGTCCCAACAGCGATGTCGCCTGTAGAACATCGCTGTTCTGGTCAAAATTTTCAAAAAAATATCCATTGCACCTTCATTTATTGCTCCAACAGTCATATTTTTTGAAATTTAGGACGTTGGAGGCCTCCTTTTCTATAAATTGGAGCCTCCACTCCTCATTTTTACACACACAAACACAAATTCTCTCCATTCTTCTTGCATATCTCACTCTACTTACAATTTTTTTCTTCCTCTTCATCATGGGCAAGGACAAGAGCAGGGCCGCCACCTCTAGGAAATCAAAGTGCAAATCCCGGGCGCCTACGTCATCATCTGAGGAGCGTCTCTACTACGGTGACGGGTCATACCTTTGGTTTGATTCCGAGGAGGAGCGCACGCGTTTTCTCACCTTCTTCTCCAAACGGGTTGTGGCTCCCCCACGAATCATCCCGGAGCGTTACCCGGAGTTGCAGGGCTACGAAGACCTCGACGCGCAGCTTCATCAAGCCGGTATTTGGCCGTTCGTCTCCCGGGCGCGCAAGGAGATCAACCTGGCGCTGATCCGGGCCTTCTACTCCAACCTCCGGCGTGAGGACGACGTGCCCTACTCGCTCGTCAAGAGCACGCCGATCGAGCTCACCGTGGAGCAGCTTGGGCGCATCGCCGGCCTCCCCTTCCAAGGTGACGATGTGTCTCACTATGGTGGAGAGGATTGGGTGCTCAACAACGAGGGCCTTATCCTCAATGAGCTTGGCATCACCGAGCTCAAACGCCATGCCTCGGGCCGCCCAACCATCCACTCTGCCAACCCCGAAGGCCGCCTCGTCCTCTACATCGTCTCCCGGATCATCAAATCGAGGAAGCACGGCCACACCATCATGCACGATGAAGACCTCAAACTCATCCATGCGATCATGCATTCGGCCCCAATCAATTGGGCAAAGTTTGTCATGATCAACATGACGATCGCCGCGTCCACCGACCACGATCACCTCCTCCCGTACCCGTTTTTGGTGATGGACATCCTTGAACGGTTCAAGGTAACCACCACCGTTGGCCCGCTCACGAAGGCCACGAAGATTTGGACAATCAGCAACCAAACCTTC